ATGGTTAATGTAATTATCTTGGGTGCAGTAATATATTCCAGTGAACAATGCGACGTTTTCCATAAAGCAAACAAGCAACCAATCATCGACAAAGTTATCGAGAACCTGAAGAAGGTGAAGCATCAAGTCCAGAAAGACAAGTAAGCTGAATTGAGTCTGTGCGTGCGGTCGATGAGAGGGCAACTTCGTGCAGTGAGCCGACCTCTGCCGTCATTTAATCGATATTAGACATTCGACTTTGTGTAACGCCAACGCTGTCGACAATATCATGCATAGTGTTGCCGTGAAAAAAAAATCTCAATTGGTTCGTGCGCCTTAGCGATTGCTTGTGTAGGTTCATACTTCCAGGCAAATTTTGTGCTGCTTTATCCATGTTACTCACAGGGTATACGCAGTGAAATAACTAGAAGTGTTGCCCCGTATTGTCGAGTTGCATCTCCAGTGCCTGCAGTTCTAAGTTCTTGTTGGCATTCAATTACTATGTTGTAGGAAGAGGAAGCTACATATGTGTCGACGTTGCGAGGACTGGGGAAGAGTGGTTTGTCTGAGAGGAAGATAGTTGAGCGTGGTGACCCTTGTGACAGCATAGCACACCAAAGTACTACTACGTCCAACGACCTTGCTCATAGATACTCATGTTCCAGGATGAGAAGGTGGCGCGATTGTCGCTGGAGGATTCGCAGCAGACTAGAAGCCAGCGCACACGAAGCAGACATGAGGCCCCTATCCGAGGCCAAAGCCGCAGTCCGAGTCGTAAGCGACGTCGTGTCGAAAAAGATGGATCCCAACACTCAGAAACTCCTCCTTTCCCAGCGTCACAGACACAAGACGATCGATTGACACAGTCTAGCACCCTGACGGCCAGCAACTCGATGCAACCTGGCTCTGGGTTGAAGATTGACTGGACCGCTGGTGGCATTAGCCGTGGCCCGGAGGTCGCCGATGCTGGCCGTGGTGGTGAAGCTGGTACGGGACTGGTGGCAAGTTTGTTCTGCACGGGATCTGGGAAGCAGGTTTCTATCTCCAAGGCGAAGTTGGACACGTACGAGCGGCAGATGTGTGAAGATGATTCCGAGTACGGTGTGACCCTTCTTAAACTGTAAATCATACAACGTTAGTAACCAGCGCGCCTTGAACACAAGAAAGCATTTAAGGCGTACCTCCCCTGACACTGTCGAGTCGTCTGGCAGCAGGAACGTGATCTACACAAACCAGTGTACCCACGCCTCTATAACTCTCACCGCAAAATTCCAAATTCCAAACCACTGCAGCTCACCTGCACGGGCTCTTCTTGAAGAGCCATCACGTGGTCGAACTTGGTCTCCTCGCCTCTCTTAGCTACCCCATCCTTACTTGCTGCGCTCAGCTCCAAGTTCAGCACAGGCTGCGGCATCTTTGCTTTACGCCCCTTCAAGGTACACTTGGCTACATTGCCCTTGGGTATCGAGAGTGATGGTAAACTTGATGTGGTCCACTCAGCGCGCCAATTCCGCACTGCCTGGCACTCACCAATGCAGCCCGACTGCGATGGCGGGACCTGGCGCGAGACGTTCGATGAGCTGCTGGTGTTTGAACAGGACTTTGACACGGC